CTGAGGTCAGGGCAGATCGAGAAGGCGTTAGCTCCCTGCAGGGAGAACAGAGCCACCGCAGCCCACTTGGGACAAAGATGCTGGGAAGCAGCTGACATCATTGCACACTACTACACACACCCCAGTGCCCTCCGCTCACCATCCACACCATCAAATGCATCAAATGCTCCTCATGTGCCCTCCTTGGAAAAGAACAAGTTTGCTTAACTTGTTGTTTGCTTAACTTTAAAAGTGGCTTGTGGTGATCTCTTCTGGGCAAAAGTGCATTTGTTGTTGCTTATTGATAGAGAGTGCAAGTAGGTCACAGAACGGTTTGGGTTGGAAGGGGCCTCAGAGCTTGTCCAGTTCCAAGCCCCTGCCATGGGGACACCTTCCACTAGAGCAGGTTGCTTCAAGCCCCGTCCAACCTGGCCTTGAACACTGCCAGGGATGGGGCAGCCACAGCTTCTCTGGGCAACCTGTGCCAGCGCCTCAGCACCCTCACAGGGAAGAACTTCTGCCTAATGTCTAATGTAAATCTTCTGTCAGTTTCAAGACATTGCCCCTCTCCTATCCCTACATGCCCCTCTCCACATTTCTTGTTGTCCCCTTTAGGCACTGAAAGCTGCTCTAAGGCTGAACAAGCTCAATATTCTCAGCCTGTCTCCATAAAAGAGGTGCTCACTCAGTGGTCTCTGCTATTTTACTTCTTCATCATACTTGTCACGAAGCTCTCGGTTCCCCCAGTTAGCTGCAAGAGTTGCCTTCTGGCTACAGACCCAGTCAAAGGCACAGGATTGTCTTCAAAGGAGGCTTTACACAGAGCAGCTGGAAGTTTCATTTATGAAGGTCAGTCCAGAGGAGACTGAAAAGACAGAAGAGAGACAGGAAAAGAGAAGAAAAACAGGCACAATGATTTCTACATTCTTTGTGTGACCACAAAGGTGACACAATCTTATACAGGACAACCTTATATAGTCATACCACACTTCTATTAAAAAACTCCATAATGCGACTGTGTACTGGCTTCAAGGGACTAAGGAGATGACAATTACAGTAGTCACCAGGACAAGCACAAAAGCTTGACTGAAACAGCCAGGACGAGCAGCAGGACACATAAATGTGAATCTTGCCTGGACAAGCTCTGGTGGCAGGTATGAGAATGTCTGTTAAATGGTTTCAACATGGAATAAAGGGAACTGAAAAATGCATCTCTTAAGGAGGGAAAAGAGCATGGGTGAGAAGCTGACCTTCAAGACAGCAACTTCAGTACTCAGAAAAAATAAGTAGCTTAAAAGGAGTGTTACAATATATGGAAGAAATAATGGTATGGGAAGGGGACAGAAAGATAAAAAAACCAACCTAGGAGATTAAAATTGGTGATTAGAAAGTGGAGGTGCAAGACAGTGAAAATAAATAGGCTCAGGAGAGACAGCAAAGCTTATACATGTATTTGATGTTACTGCTTTGTGGCTGTGCAGCTATCCCAGGTGGAATAAAAAATTAATGAGGCAGGAAGATGAAAAGGAACAGAGGGATGGGGGGAACTTCCTTCTCTGAATAAAATTTGAGATTCTAATTAAGATTCTTCCTGTAATCGGCTTCATCACCAGCCTAACTTGTTCTAGAAGCACCAGAATGCCCAGACCTGACAGACCCCAGAGCAGTCTGCACACCGACATGAAACTTGTACCTGAGCACTATGAAGATCCATACTCACTTCATGTGAAAATGTGTAAAAATGTATGAAAATGTTACTTTTGACAGCAAGTGGCTGTAAGTTTCCTTCATGTGAACAAAGCAATCCTCGCTGGAGGGAATCTGCTGAAGCTGACTTCTGTTCCCTTTCTGCTATACCCAGAAAAGCAGAAGTGTGACCATCTACCCCAGTAAAGACAAGTCTGCAAGTCGCTGCTTTGCTTCGGTGGTAGTATATTTTTCAATATGTGGTGGTTTGTATTTTACATGTTGAAAAAGCTGACTTGGCATTTCCTGCAGCGGAACAGAAAGCCTCTGATCTACCTGCAGACATGCCAGTATTCGCATGACTTTAAACACGGAGAAATAAAGCACATCCCTTGGGACTTGCCAAGCTGCCGAATAATAATAATGTGAGAGAGGTATTTGATAATAATGAGAACCCCATTTTCTTCCTAAACAAAGGACACTATTCAAAATCTGTATCCCATGAATTATTATTTACATATGTTTATGCAGAACACAACCCCGCCCCACATCAGTGCTGTGTCAAAGAGGGACAAATCACACATTTGAGAGGAGAAATACAAAGCTAAAGATGAAACACAGATATAAACTGTGATAGATTTAACTTGGACTCATCTTCAATTATTTGGCACTGAATTTCTCTTAATTGTACACAGACTGGATTTGTTCTGGGGCCTGTGTTGCCTTCAAGGGTTTCTTCTAGTAAAGCTGAGACAACAGGAGAGAAACTACCACTGCCTCCCTCTGTCAGGAAATGACACCCTTGGCACGTGGGCTGGCCCACAGAGAGCAACAGAAAGCTTTGCAGCAGCCTCTTTTAGTGCTGCATCCAGCCAGCCAAACCCTCGGGAAGCCCCAAGCGGTCTCACACAGGATAAGCCTCTCTTTTGTCAAAACAGAGCAGTTTTTATTACTCCAAGGAGGCATAATCAGTACTTCTCTATGACAACAAAAGGGTGAGTCTGATCCCATGACCAAAACAGTACTCCTCAAATCATCATCATTTGGAGATGTTAAAAAGCCAGCCGGTCTGAAAGTCATCATCTACCGGCTGTAGGCTTCTATAGGAAATTCCAGTATATATTATAGAACATAACAAAACTGAATGCCACAGGAGGGAAGTTAGTTGATTTGGTATCTTCTAAACATGTGTTTTTGCAAACTGCAGATGGTGTATGAGTGATGGGAATACATGGGGTTTTCACAGCACTTCTGCTGGAGCTGATGCTGCATGTGGCCTCTGCTCCCCAGCCCAAGGTCTGTGCTCCCCACTGCAGAAGTCATCCTCATCTCCTGGATGAATGGGCTTTCTTCTCAACTCCAGCCGTGCATCTCCTGTCTGTTACCAACAGCTTCACAAACTCACAGGGCTGGTCTGGGAGTCTAACGGCGCTGCCCCTTCTGCCCATACCTCCCCCTTCTCCTGCCTGAATTTCCCCATTTCCTTCTCTGAGCTAGCACAGCGGACAGACAGAGACACCTTACAGATCTGAACAGTGCTCCATGTTTAGTTTAGCTCCATGACTGCTAGTTTGAGCTGTCCTAATATTTGACTACTTGCTGTCAAAAACTTACAGAGAAGTTAGTGTTTAAATCTTTTGTTATTTCTAGTATAAATGATGTTGAAGGTATAATTTCAGACAACTAAATTCCTCTTAAAATTTAACTTTTTATTTGAAATACCCACTGCCCATGGGGGTAGATTTTCTTAAAAACCACCAGTACCTTAGAGGGGGCTGCAAGAAATTTGGAGACGGACTTCTTACAAAGGCATGTAGCGTCTGTCAGAGGGGAGACTTATAGGAAGAAACCTTCCATGTGAGGGTGGTGAAGCCCTGGTACAGGGTGCCCAGAGAAGCTGTGGCTGCCCCATTCCTGGCAGTGTTCAAGGCCAGGCTGGATGAGGCTTGGAGCAACCTGCTCTAGTGGAAGGTGCCCCTGCCCATGGCAAGGGGTTGGAGCTGCAAGAGCTCTAAGGTTGCTTCCAACCCAAACCAGCCTGTGATTCTCTTTCCCTACCAGGCACGTACTCTTTCATTAGTCAGGCTTTAAGCCTTTACAAGCAAAATACCAGAAAGTGTTACGCTAGAAATCACCAGCCCTGATCTCAGGACTTGGCCCTAGAGCAACAAATGTGGTGTAGTTCTGGGGGAGCAGTGTTTCCTATTATTGCTGCAGCTGATTGTTTGGTCTTTTCACAGTAAGTGAACTGTCCCCACAGCGTGTCTCTCTCCGAGGTCAGGGCACACGCGGCTTTTGGTGCACTCAGGACCAAAGCTGGTAGATAATTATGCCCTATGCAACGCCACACACCATCAGGTGGTGAGTAAGGACCTTCCTGATGTACTGAGGACATACCCATACCAAGGCATACCCTCCCCCATGGCACTAGGAGATAAACCAGAACCGGTCAGCTGCGGTCACTGTACCCACGCCGCGGGTAGGTTAAAACGAAATCAGAGCCGTTTTTACACGAAGAGCTCTCCTGCTAACGAGGAACGCGGCGGCGGCACCGGGGGCTTAACGTGACCGCTCAGTCGGTTTCCCAAACGCGCCGGCCAGGACAGGCTCAGCGCCGCTGCCCCCCGAGCTCTCCCCACGCCGGAGCGGGGGCTCGCGGGCTGCCCTCGGCCGCGCCTGCCTCCGCCACCACCGCGCTGCGGCCGGGCCGAGCTAACTGCCGCGTGCGCGCCCGGAGCCCCCTCCGCGGGTGGGGGCTGCGATCCGGCCCCGGCGGTTCCCCCCCTTGCCCCGCTCCCGCCCTTACCGACTCGGCGAGCAGGAGCCGCCCCTTGCGGGAGCGCAGCAGCTCCGCCGGCGGCAGCAGCAGCGGGCGCGGCCCGGGCGGCGGCTCGGCGGCCCCCGGCTCCTCCATGGCGGAGAGCGGCGGCCGCGGGGCGCGGACGGGTGCGGGGTGTTTTTGAAGGAGGGAAGCGGAAATCGTGACCCTGCGGAAACGTGAAAAAAAGTTTCAGCATCCCCAAATCTGGGGGGTGGCGGCCGCGCCGCGCGCACGGGACGCGCCCTGCGACACCCGTTTGACCGTACCCACCCTCCTCACGGCGCGGGGGAGACGCCGAGGGAGTTTTCGGAGCTATCCTGAACACGAACGTTAAAACCGAGGGATCAAAACGCCTCGGCAAGGAAGCGTTCGCACGGGCTTAAGCAGCCGTCGGGAGGGAGGCGAGGAGCGCAGCAAGGGGCGGGGGGAAATCTGTTCCCAACACTGCTTACTGGTACATTAAATATTTCCTTTAAGTTCGCTTAATAAATAAATGTTCAATAATGCACGTAAGCCCATGTGTATGTTCTTTTTATTACAGAAAGACAAGTGTAAAATTAATCATTCAGGTAAAAGTTAACCTTCATACACGTAACAATGTAATTAAGCTTACAAAACAGGAGAATTTTCTATGAAGTTTATGTTTGTGAACAAAGGTGAACACGAAAATACAGATTCTTTAAAAAATAACAGTAAACCAGTCATCAGTGGAGAAATCGTTCTTTTACTAAAATGTTACTGTTATTTGGCAGGAGCATTCCTTTCTCTTCGTCCACCAAAGCTGATCTTCCAGAAAACAACTGCATCCACAACACAGAGAATAAGCAATATAAACCCAAACACCTATAAAAATAATAATAATGTTAGTTTCCACATGGAATCGCTTTCACTGTAGTGACTCATCTACCATTCCTCAAAGCAGCAGTAGATACATCTTCCTAACCTGGTTCTGGTATAATTTAAATATATATGCGATTCCAGACAGCTGTAAAGTAACATCTGTATTTAAACCCCATCAGCCTTTCATACAGCAGTTCACAGCCTGGCTTTGCCCAAAGTCTATGTGAAGCCCTGGAGATTGAGTTCTCTTTGAAAACTCTTAAGATGCCAGATGGTGCTTTCATCCAAAATGAAAACTTTTCTGTCTCTTCAAGGATGCCTAATTAATGGTATTGGCCTGGAGAAAATGCAGCATTTGTAGAAACAAGCCTTTTGGGGAAAAAAAATAGCACTCCTCCCCTCTGAAGCTCTGAATGGGAAACATTCCAAATTGAAAATATACACGTATTTTAAAAATACACACGGAAGATGTCAGATGCTCTCCCCGAACTTTTTTTCCAAGCTACTTGCTCAGCCTCCTGCCTCCAACTTAACTTCACAACTGACAATATAAATTATATCTTAGCACTTATCAGGAAATCTCGTTTCTGCTCAGGATGGCATGGTCAGCAAGAACATCTGTCTTCCCTCTCACCAAGTCTCTTAAGCTGACTTTGAAAAACTCCTGAGGCAAGTTCTGGGTTTCTGATGGTGGCTTGTCACATTTGAGCTTTTCTTGTACTTCAGAAGACTTACGTACTTTCAAAAATGAGGGCCTCCCCCTTTTTGTTTCTTAATGTTAATTATGTTTGTTTTCATTTGAATTAAAAATTACAGTTGTTTATTAAACTGATTTGATCTTAAGTACACAAAAATCTTAGAGTCTGAAAAAAAAACAACCCCCTTTTCAACTTCCAAGATTTCTCAGTTTGTGTCAGAAAAAAATAATAACACACGTCAGGAGGGAGGTACCAGCATGTCTATTAAAAAAGTTTCCACCCTTTTTTAACAGGAGTGTAGGAATTTCTTCTGAGATAGTGCAACCAAATGGGATAGTCCTAAAAGAGCTACAGGTTCTCCCAGTGAGGACTGATGGAAGATTTATTCCATATTGCAAGATGTGGAAGCAAGTATCAGTTACTCCAATTAGTTAGACTCTAGGAGTTTTCAGTGTTAGTACTTCTCAATAGCAACTCCCAAGTCTAGTAATATCTTTAAATTATGTGTGATTTGAAGATTATTTTTTTAGTGAGATTCAATTTAGTGAGATTAAAATTTTTAGTAAGATTGAACATGTCTTCACTTTTGTTTTAGTATGTTCTTCCACAACCGTTATTTTCATGGTCTTACCACAACAGAAGGAAACCAAGAGGTTCAAATCCTGTCCACTTTAAGAACTGAAATGCCTTAACAATGTTGCTACTTACTCCTCCTGCCAGTGTTGCCTTGTTGGTCTTGCCTACTACTGCAAACAAGCACACAACGAGGAGGAACAACGCTGCAATCATCGAGTTAAAAATATCCTGAAACAGCCAGCAGAAGCAAAATATTTATTCTGAAATACACACCTGAAGAACATGAACACCGCCCAGTTTTTTTACAAATTATCAAAAATCGCTGAATTGCTTCAACAGTGGAATTAGATACCCATGTAAGATCGATAGTGACACCCAGTGGTTTGATGTCAGAAGGAACGTTTGCGATGAAATTTCCTCATTTTACCTGTTTTTTTTTTTTTTTCAGTCAAATTTATGCAACTTGGCTACACTTGATAGACTAAGGTAGCAAATAAATATTTCAGTGAAAGTGTATGGTTAATTTGTGGAGTGAAAGATAAAAATACAGTATCACAAAGCTAAGCAAATGATGCTAACTGCAAGAGGGACTGCTAGCAGTCCCTAAGTCAACTGCTAAGAAATCAATGTGAAAGACTCTCTAGGAAAAAATGGATCAACAACAATGGAACTCAGGTTTGCTCCAACTTTATGGCAATGGTGCCTGAGATGGCTGACTACAACCCTTAGAATGACGCTGAGAGCAGGGGTTGTTCAGAAGGCTCCAGGGAGACCTTAATGTGGCTTCCAGTGCCTAAATGGGACAAGAAATGTGGAGAGGGGCTTTTGACAAGGGCATATAGGGCCAGGACAAGGTGGAATGGCTTTAAACTGACAGCAGGAAGATTCAGATTAGACATTAGGCAGAAGTTCTTCCCTGTGAGGGTGCTGAGGCGCTGACTCCGGTTGTCCAGAGCAGCTGTGGCTGCCCCATCCCTGGCAGCATTCAAGGCCAGGTTGGACACAGGGGCTTGCAGCAACCCTGTCTAGGGGACGGTGTCCCTGCTGCGGCAAGGGCGTTGGAACTAGGGAGAGTTTTAAGGCCCCTTCCAACTGAAAGCGTTCTATGATTCTGTGCACAGGCCACCACCGGGTGGGTGAGATCCCTTCATTTCGGGGCCCGCCAGTACTCACGGCCAGTGGCCAGAACAGCCAGGTCATCTTTTTATCGAGCTTCAGCAAGTACAGGAGGAAGAACAGCGTCGTGATCACCACCTCCATGCCGGCCAGCGACGTGTACATCCCGCCGGACCTGGCGCCCAAGAAGCAGAAGAACATCCCCCACGCCAACAGCTGCGGGCACACAGGAGGACTAACGTGTCTGTGCATGTGTGCGTGTGCTACCGCTGCGCCGATAACCGCCCGCACGCCCGAGCCGTCCCCGCCCTCTCGGGAACGCAGGACCCCGCGGATAGGCCCGCACGGCCCCTCCGCGCTCCGCTCCCCTCCCCTCCCCTCCCCTCCCCTCAGCGCTTACCATGCGGGCGATGTTAATGGAGCCCCGCAGGGAGCGGGGGAAGGCCCTGTCCACCTCCACCAGCGCCATGACTGCCGCGCCCCACAGCACCCGCACCCCTCCGCTGGGGACGGGGATACGGCCAGAGCCGGCTCCGCCCCGGCGCTCCCCTGGCGGCGGAAGTGAGCGCGCAGCGGCCGGAAGCGGTTGTGCTGGGGCAGTGCCGGGGCCGGCAAGAGGCATGGGCGATGTGGCGTTTGGGCGCGGCCTGGGCGCGGCCCGGTGTGCTGCGCGGGGCCCGGGCCCGGGCCCGGGGTAGTGGCGCGGCAGGGGCTGCCTGTGTGGGCGGAGCGGCTGCGGGCTCTCCGACCGGCGGCCTGGCGTTGCGCTCCCGACCCGGCCCGAGCGGCGCTGGCGGCTGTAAGTCCGCGTGCGGGGGGCCGGGCCCGCGGTGGGACCCTGCTAGACAGGGAGGTGCGAGAGCGGCCTGTGAGTGCGGGAGGCGACAGCCGCTCCCCGCACAACGACCCGGGCCATGGCCACCAGAACGACAGCCTGTGGTGGCGGCGGCCGCGCAGGGGATGGAGAGAGGGTTCAGAGCTCAGCTCTCTTAAATCCGTCAGCAGCGGTGACACGGGTGTGAGGAGCCACAGCATCTCGTAAGAGGGTGGAGCAAGGTCCCCCCCTCTACCTTTTTTGCAGCCTGTTCAAACCTCCTTCCGGCTTCTTGCACGTCGTGGCCCTGATAGGCTTTGTGGGCCCTCACTGGCAGCGTTGGGGAGCCAAACACACCTTTGTTGTCTGTTTTGTTAAGGGTCGGCTTGTGTATGCTTTATATAGGCAGTTTTGGGATGTAAGGCATCTAAATTACATGGCTTGGAGGTGTGTTTGCATTTTCATGCTCGCCCAGTGTTCTAGCCAGGCCTCTGAAGTCGTTGAGCCTTGCACTACAGCTGGTATTTCCCAAATTCATTTTTTTTTTCCGCCAGTGTAAACTAACTGAGGAGCAGTAAGTGTAAGAGAACTCTGAAGGAGCATAGGCACTCTCCATTTGACTCCTTGTAGTGTTAAGGACAACAGAAAACTTAAGGTAAACCCTTGTCCTTGTATGCTTAATGTGTCAGTTGCATGACCCAGTGATTACCCAAGCCCTTAAAGACTGGTAATTTGGCAAAAATTTGTATTAAGCAATAGGGAACCTAAAAAGCTCATGGAGGGTCTGACATTAAGAAGCTCAGTATAGCTTTAAGTTACAAAGAGCTCATTCTCATTTGTAACTCCTGTTTATTTCCAATCTAGATAAACACCTGATAAAAGAAGATGGTAGGAAGACAGTTGTGAGTATTTGTTTTACTTGGGGTGTTCAGGTGGTGGGTCTGATGCTGGATCTTACCTGGCACAAGGCTATGTTTGCTGTGTTCTGTGAACTGCAGTATAGTCATGAGGGATTTGTGTCAGTGCATGCTGTTGTGTAGGGACAGGTGTCGACTGAAAATAGATAATGTACCTTACACATTAAGCTGTCTGTTTAAAGGATGCTGAAATTACAGCTTCAGTTGGCACTTATTTTAAGTTGAATGAAGTTGAACGCAAAGTGTTGCAGTCTCGGAGGTGAGTTGTGGAAGACAGTGTGGGATAGCAGCAGACAGCCGATGACCCTCTGAAGCTCCTGGGGGCTGGGAAGACCAAATGTCTTTGTATGAAGTAATTAAATTGCATTATAGGGAAATAGTATGCTTGATGTGGAAATAATAACACATTTTTTAACAATGGTACTCTTCTTCATCAGGTATGTGTTGAGGGGAACATTGCGAGTGGAAAAACAACATGCCTGGATTATTTTGCACAAACTACTAACATTGAGGTAGTGGGTGTGCATTTCATTGTCTTTATGTACATCATTAAGCAGCTGCTTTTCTTGACAAAATTGACAGAAGTGTTTTCCTTTGGTGGGCTAATGGAGCAGTAGACTGTAAGCCAGTGCACAGACTGGTGCCTGCCCTGCAACTACAAAGAGTCAAACTGTAGAAAAGGAATTCAGATCATTGTACTTTAGAGTATCAGAGCTCAAGTATCAGTAAAACCAGTGGATTAGAGGTTATACCTCTATAAAGGAACAGCAGCCCATGTTCGTTGTTCACATTTGGGTGTGCTTGTTTGCTCTTTCATCTCACAGATATATCATGTAATAAGCAAAGAAGTAATGATGTAAAAATTTGATGTCATGTAATGGAGATCCCAGTAAATGGATGGCTTTTGAAAAATGAAAAATCTAGTTCTGGAGATTTCTTAGACTGGTATGGTATTTGATTTTTTATGCTTAGAAGAAGATTAGGGGAAGGGCAGTTTCCCTGTATTTTAGACAAAATCAAGATCAGACCTTAGTGAGGTATTGCTTTTGTGGATATCAGGTAGATATTCCCTGGCATGCCTGGGAACCCACTGATAAAAAGTTCTAGGCTTCCTCATAGAAATGCTGGGTTGCCCGATGTTATTTGTTAATTGAACAGGAATGATCCTTACGGGTAAGGATAAACCCAAAACGTAGCAAAGTTTAATTTGTGTATAGTGCAACATTTTTTAAAAAGCCAGTGAACTCCCCAGGCTTACCAGCTTCTCTTAGGCCTGGCTCTGCAGTGTTATTGGAGTTTGAACCACATCAGTCTGTTGTGATTTTACCTATTCAGGGTAGAAGCTTTTCTGATCAATTTCATAAAAGTTTTGAGTGCATTTTGTTTGTTAGATCACAAAAATAAAATGAGAAGTAGTATGATAGCATTCTCATCCTCTTTGCTGATTTTTCTCTGAGAAATTAATTTGTGAGGAAATGAACCAGGCATTGAAGTGCGTTCAGGACTCAGCTAAGTCATTCCTTCCCTTACATGGGACTGATTTTGAAAACGTGAAATTACGTCCAGGCTCATTAGGTAATTAATCCAGTGTTTTATTTTGGCTGTTTAAAAATGCTAAAAAGAAATTGTATATTGATATTTCTCTATTTTTAAACAGTGTTCATTATTACTTTTTGTATTAGGGGATTCAGTGCTGTTTTCTGAAGAGGAATAACCTTTCTAATACAAGTCCTGAATACTGTGACTTACTGAACGAATATTCATTAAAAATAGTTGTAGGTCTGTAGGGTCAAATTAAGTATTTTGAATCTAAACCATGTTTAATATGGAGTAATTATTTTCAACAAGGTTTTGACAGAACCGGTGGCAAAGTGGAGGAATGTTCGTGGTCATAATATCCTGGTAAGTCACAGGAGTTGTTTCTACAATTATAATTACTGTTCTTTTAGAAAGACATGCATGAGGACTTCTTATTGATCAGTAGAGCTGTTATGAAAGGTGTGGTCATAAACTCATACAACAGAAGATCTGTTTCAGTGATTAAGACATGCATCTAATAGAAATATTGCATATAAAATGTGTTTTCATCAAGGACTGGGTCTTTTATTTTGTATGAGCTGAAGAAATTCAGAGAAAGGTAAGTCCTGAGTGTGACAGTTGTTTCTGAATCTCATTGTGCCTGTTCCAGAGAAGGGAAGAACGTCACTTGGAAAATGAGGGGTGAATCTGATAGGTTGATACTGTTTGACTGCTGAAGATAAGGAAGATTGAGTCCTGTGAGGTGTCAGGAGCTTCTGATGTCTTGTGGGTGGTCATTGTTTCTTGGAACTGTTCCCCACAGCTATGTCCTTGTGTCACAGCTGTGCTTGGGGACAGCTGTCAGAGCTCTGGATACATCTGCAGATCTGCTTTTGCTGGGGTGGTAGAAGTGGTTTCCAATGTCAGTCTTTGCTGCTTGTGTGGTCATCTCTATTGCAAAAATCTTATTGCTGGCTGAGATGGGTGTGCTCAAGCTTATGTGGAATTTGCTGTCAATGCAATTGTGTAGATACACCCTGAACCACACATGCCCAAACATGTATTTGATATGTAGCATAGGTCCTCCAGAAAAGTAAGTTCTCCCTACTAGAAGCTGCTGATGTTTTACTCCCTTATTATCAGTAAAGGGATGGGGCATGCTAATCTGTGCTTATCACAGCAATCTGCACACTTCAGAATGTTCTCTCATTCTGATCTGGGGTAGGGAGAAAAGGAGGAGGTCAGGTCTATGGGCTGAAGCCATGCTCCTGACTTAAAGTTTGTCACTCCAGCAAAACAGACAATGAATGATGCTTTATTTTATTTTGAGTCAGATTTTTTTTCTCTGCTTTGCAGGATAGACTGTTGCTTGTAAATGTATGTGTGTGTGGAATTGCAGTAATCAGAAAGTGGAGGATAAAAGAATTGCTTTGAGGATGATTTGGGAAGAACAGTTGTCTGTGTTAAAAGACACCTTTTCTGAGGCCCAGACCATACTGGAACCACATATGCATTTCTGGATGGCCTTGGTATTCTGGGAGTCTGTCAGCGCGCAAGAACAGAGTAGCAGATATTTTTGTTTTTTTTTAATTACTGAACATATTTGAACTGTCTCAAATGAGCTCTGCCTTGGTCCTGGCCATTCCAGGTGCAGAAACTAATTCCTGTTGACTTCAGAGAGTATTCCAAACACCCCACTTAGGCATTCTAAGGACCAGGACTGAAACTCTTGCATCAGTACTGTGGAGAGCAATTGATCATTTAATTCTTGTCAAACCTGGTGTCAGGTGTTTCAGTGAACTTCTTTTAGCAATTCTGTTGTAGAGCAAAAGCTAACTAAATACTGAACTTCACTTTTCTTGCTGTTTGACCTAACAAAATTGCCTGCCTCTTGCTTCCATCTCTAACCCCAGGGCTTAATGTACCAAGATGCATCAAGATGGGGGATAACATTACAGACTTACATACAGCTTACGATGTTGGAGCAGCATACCAAACCAATGGTAAATAAACTTATTTTTATTTAAAAAAGCAATTAGATGTGATTATGAGTAATAAATATTTTTAACCTTGTATCCAAAAGTCAACATGCTGTTTGTGTTCTTTCCTTATTCCTGCAGACAGTATGAATTTTTATAGTGCAAAGACATTGTTGATACACTCAACTTGTGCTCCAGGGGTGAAACATCTGCCTCCTGCCTGCTTAGAGCTTTTACTTGCCCAAACAAATACTGCTTTTTTAGTACCAGCCCTACAAGCTAGACTTGCACAGATGCCTTCCGTCATTACACATCAGTGACTTGTCTGTAACTGGCATCTATGTAAATTGAGCTCAGATCTTCGGGAAACATTAGGTAATCTTAAAGATAGTGGTGGTATTCATTCTGCTGCTCTCTGCTGTCTACCACAAATTTAGTCATAGTGCCTTGTGTTTAGCCAAAACACTTCCATTAAATTTTATACTTTTTTTTTTCCCCCCAAACAGTTTCCATCTTTTTTTTCTTGTATTTTTTTTTTTTTTGTTACTGTGTATCTATTTTCACATGCTGCCTTTTTTATCAAGATCATTTCATTTCTCTTTCCTTCAAACATCTTTTGTTACATTCTGTGCTAAATCTTCCATTCCCTGATTACAAGATCTGATTTTAGGTGGCATGCTTATATCTCGGTGATTGTTCTTGCATTATATTCTCTGAGTTTATGTCAGGGCAAACTTTCAAAAGTACCACATGATAGTGATACTGCATGTATAATCATTAACTTTTTGGAAGAGGTGTTTTTCCAAGACAGATGTCATTCTGTTACAGAAGAAGTTCATTCAGATATTCCTGAGGATTGCCCTGTGTTTCAATCTGAGCTTTGCTGTCCTTTGTCACTTGAACTTTGCTGGAGTAGTGTTGCTTCCATGATCATTAACGTGCAGAATACCTGATTGGAAGGAGCTGTGCCAGGGTTACCTTGCTCTGCAGGGGCTAGAGAGTGTCAGAGAAATCTCTCTTCTCCATATGAATCACTTTTTGAACGTATGCAAGACTGACTAAGGCCAGCGCTTTGTCAGATGCAATTACTTCCATAGAAAGTTCTGTTTCTTGGTACAGTTATCCTGATGTTAAGGCTGTGCTGTTGACACAGGAGCACTCTTGAAGGTGGCAATGATTCAGGTAGCAGTCATTCCTGATGCTCTGCAAATTCTAAATGGATTGCTGCTTTTTTATGTACTCCTAGTTAACCTCAGCTGAAACTTACCTTTGAAACTCGCATGTGAGTAACAGATTAGTTTTGTAGGTGGTTAATAATGCAGTGACCCTAAGTAAGACTAAGAAAACCTGAATAATTTCATAATGTAAAGGACATGATGTGCAGTATAAGCCTGAAAAGAAACAAACATGCTGAAAAATGCAGATTGTCAAGTTTTATTTCCTAGATATCCCCCATAAGAATGATGGAGCGATCAATTCACAGCGCAAGATATATTTTTGTAGAAAATTTGTATCGAAGGTACAGTATATAGTCTTATACTTTACTTTCTTGAATTAATTAAATATATGTATAATCGACTGATGATGTCCTTGGTAATCTAAGTGGAGTGTGAGATCTGTCAGTTCTGTGTTGGAGTGGCAGTGTGTTTTGTACAGCATGTGCTACCCACTGGTAGAATAAATGGGCCAGGCAAGAGCCTTTTTCAGAAGAGCTCCTGTGTACAGAGAACATCTTGCTATTCAGAACACCATTTCTTGAAACTATCTGTTCTCCAGCTGAACACAAAAATCTTGCTTAAATCAGAGACACATAATGAATAGGAAAAAAACATGAGAATACATAGAACAGCACTGTAGGAGGAGATAACTACACAGCGTTATCCAACCTAGCATCCAGGACTGGGATTTCTTGCAAGCAGGATCTTGAGTGACAAGCAGGAAATTGAGTCCCATGCTATTGCTCAGAATCGGGATTCTTAGGCTCAAAATAAACTGCAAACCTCATAGGCCAGTGAGTAAAGAAAGCACAAGAATTGTTTGTCTCTAAATGTTGCCTCCTGAATTGGGTCCTTGCCCCCAGGTGTGCTTGGGCCAGAGCAGAGGCCTAACTGTGAGAGAAGACTGTGGCCTGAAATAGATAAAGCATTTATTACCTGTCTGATGTATAAATCGCCCATCCCATACTAACTAAAATAGTGCAGTAATCAGTAGTGCTAGCTTGGTTTTTGTTTTTTTTTTTTTTTTTTGTTTAGAATGCTGAGCTTCTGTTGAGAAGTGCATATAACAGACTTGTTTTAATGGATTTTTCAGGGTTTTTCAGGGACAAAACCAGTTTCTTGCCCCCCAGGGAGAATGGCTGCATGCCACAAGGTGGCATCCATGCTACATAAGCTGCTAGTGTGTTACTGGAACTGCTTTGAAAGTTCAGAGAAACACTGTGAGATGCGAGGCAAACTTTAGAGACAACATTTATCCCAGTCTTTATGCAGTGGAAGTGTACTGGAATCTCATCCTCATTTTTAATTACTGATTCTTAATACATCCTCTATAGACTCCCTTTTACCTAAGTTGGGTGTTTTATTATTCTTATCGAGATAACTCTGTGACAGTTGTCTTCAATATTGTCTATGCTATGTGAACACTGAGTTCACATTAAGCATGTTGAATATTTCACTACTCTTTCCACAAGTGTTTTTTACAGTTGGAGTAAATTTTATTTACCTAATGTCATTATTTTTTACTGCTCTTTACTGTGGCTCCTGCAATGAATTGTCAGTGCTGCTCTGTAAATCAAGCCTTTCTGGTTTTGTGACACACACTCCAGTAGCTCAGATCTGTTTGAAATGATCCTCATGTAAAGAACTCGAGCAATAAATACCATTGACACTAATTTGTGGTTATTGTATAAATGTCAGTGTGGTTGATGTTTTTCTTCTCAGTCACCAGATAATAATTTCTTAACTGTTAATGAAAATAATGTTTGTAACTGTTAATAATAGAAACATTGTGTTAGTGAGGTTTTTTTGTTTCGTGCTTTTTGTTTGTTTTTGTTTAAGCAAGAGGATTTGGTCTTTTTATTGTATAAATATGATTTATGAAGCTTTCAGTTTGGGCAGGCGTAATATTGCTCATGTTTTCATTTCACATATGGTGGAGTGAATTCGGAGTAATTCTAATCAGGTAAAAAAAAAAAATAGTTTAGGTTTGATCTGTGCATGCTGTTCAGTGAGTGGTGGCTTTTATGTTTTTTTCAGCGGAAAAATGCCAGAGGTGGATTATGTTGTCCTAAGTGAATGGTTTGACTGGATCCAGAACAACACTGATGTTTCGGTTGATTTGATAGGTAAAATTCTGATGGGATCTGGAGGAGCATTTGTGGATGGGTTTCCTTCCTGGGAGAAAAAATAAATCTTGTTTTTTGGTTCATAAATAATCACATTATTCAACATAATGGTGCTTGCAGTGTGTAGCATCACGACAGCATGAGTTAGTGGATGGTTCATAGATTGATTAACAGTAATGCCAAAGGGGAGATTCAGTGGTGGTACCCAAGTCAGGATTCTTCCCTTCTGTATTTTGTGAAGTAAGTCTCTTTCTTTTAAAGCTGATGACGTGAACATAACTATATTTTTTGTCATGACAGTTTATTTGCAGACTTCTCCTGAAGTTTGTTATGAGAGGTTAAAGAGAAGATGCAGAGAAGAGGAAAAGCTCATTCCTCTGGTAAGGAGTTCCTTCAATATATGTGGTTACAATGAGCATTAGAACCATAATTATTCTAATCTAAATACTAAAATCATATCCTGAGTGTATTGCCAAAATGTGGTGCAGCTGTTTCCACTGCAAACTAAAACTTCAGTATTTAACTCTATTAAAAAAAGAAATCATGCACACTGACTTCCCAGGTTTTATGTTTTAGTAATGTGTACCACAGCTGACTGTTTAGGTGCAGTATTAATCAACTGTTAATCTTCTCTAAGATGTAAAATAGCAGTTGCTTTAGTATCATTAAATGGCATAAAAGCACCCAGCTGAAGCAGAGATACCTGTGCATGGAGATACTGAAGATCTGTGTGGGCAGTTTCTGTTGTCTGCTGTTACCAGGATGTTTATGGATGAAAAGAGTCTCTGCTTGTGTCTTTAAAGAAGAAATTTCTTGAAAATTGTTAGTGTGGGAATCTTCTTTAAAATAAACTGGTAACTGAATGATCACTTTCGGTGTCACAATTTACAGAATGTCCCTTCATTAAACAAGAAGCCTAACCAGAAATAAATGTAGTTATCTTTGCAGTCCACAGTATGTCTTCTGTATCTCCAGTGTCAGGTAGTTCAGTAGAAGCAATTGTCAGCTGAAGATACATGCAAAAAGCTAAATTTTGGGCCATGTGAAATTTTGCATTGGAGGATAATCCTTGCTGTAATGGATTTGAAGAGACATTGTGTTACTTTGCAGCTCTACTGAGGAGTGTGGGGGAAAAATTACTAATAAAAATGTTAATTGGTCTCCTTTAAAAAAACCCAGACTAATAGTTGATGAAAGGCAGAAGTGGTTTTAGAGGAAATTGAGTCAGGAAGAAGTGATTTGGGATTTTAAGGAAATAACATTGATACAGAAAGTGCCTTCAGTACACATTCTTTGCAGTCTTGCCCTTTTTGTCCTTCTCTTTGTTGTACATTTCTCTGTAAAATCTTGACCCACACTATACCTCTTGGAGAGAAATGTTTCTTGATCTTAAAAGGAGTTGAGAGCTCTGTACTCCTGTAAGCTGTGTCTTTGAGGTTCTTCATGGTGTGAAACCTTACACTGGAAGTTAATTTTTCTCAGAAACCTTATGATGTTTTTTATTTTCGCTAGTGGAAATATCTGATACAGGCTTTTATATATTGTTCTTAACTACTTACCAAATGCATAAAAATTGCAATGTGTGTTTCTTCCCTGGGCTTATGTGTTATTTGAATGCCTCCTTTTTAGGAGTATTTCGAAGCTATTCATCAGCTCTATGAAGAGTGGCTCATTAAACATACACTATTTGAAGTTTCCTGCCCAGTGCTTGTGAGTATTATTTAAGTTATAAACAGTTATGCATATGGAAGATTGTACTCTTCAAATATCAAGTGTTACTTAGTGGCAAAAGTAACTAAATCTGCTTTACTAATAACCTTTGGAGAATGAAAACCTCAGAAAAATGTTTATAGCTATCAATAATGTATAGCATGGAAGTCTGGTCTTCAATCCCTTTGGAATTTAAGGGTCTGTTCACTGTGATTATTTGCAGGATCAGTGTAGCTTTTTAATGAATGCCCAATTCTGAGCAGAATGCTAACCAGACAGATTTCTAGGAGTGTATCTCTTTGGCATCAGTTGTAGTCCTGTTCTGTTTTGCTCAAAACTAATCATGTTTTATGGTGTCAAATATTTCTAATGCTTACGTTCTTCTTTTCAAGGTTATTGGAGCTGATCATGACATGCAGAAAATGATAGAGAAGTATGAAGAAAACAGGGACCAGATACTAAACCCATCTAATATGCAACACCATTTATAGAAGTCTGCAGTTGCTGTATTTTGTAAAACATGTTTATGAAGTCTGCTTTAAGGGCAATTTTGAGTATTATAAATATTTCTAAATATAATGGGGCTTGCTTTTGAATTACACTTTGTGGACTGTTCAGTGGACTTAGTGCTATGAAATGTTCAGATACAAGTCATAAACAGAATATAAGTTAATTCCCTTTCATGTTTTTAGGTTCTCCATCAGCTTTACTGTGTCAATTTTACTCAGCTAAAATGTCAGTCTTCTCCCATTTCCCACTTCATTGCTGCTTCCTATAAGTAACCAAATTTTCTTCCTTTTTGATCCCCAAAGACAACCCTATTTTTATAATTTGAAAGAAATAGTTCCACACAGGAAGTGGGATGTCCTTTTTTATTATTAGTGGAAGCAAATAAGTTTCAAGTTAAAGCATCAGGTTAAAGTAGCTTTGTTAAATAGGTCTTTTCAGGTTGAAATAGGGGGTCTTACTCTAATCCTATCTATGCTAGTGCAGTTCCATTGAATTCTGTAAATTTCTTCCACTTTGCATGAAATCGCAACATAGTTGTTCTGAAGATAACTATGCAGTAGTACAGTCCCACTGAATTCAGTGGCAAAAAAAGCGTTAACAGTTTTCAGAAGTGATTGCAGAGTGGCTCTGAGGCTTTTTTTTTAAAAAAGGCTAATTTCTCTCTGGTGCTCATGAAATCACTGGCCCTGCTATGGCTTAGTTAAGACTAGCTAAAATACAGGGTGCATAGAAGTGTATTTGTTGTTCTTTTCAAATGGTTATAAAAATCCTAGAGTTAACTGATCTCTTAACTATTTTGTATTCTTCAGTTGTTCTTTTTTTTTTTCACAAAGAAAAATACAGATGGCTGTCTGGGTTGATATATCTTGATCAGTTTATTGTGACTTACAGGTACTTGGACAGCAGAGAAAAACAGTGGGGATTTCATTGTTAGCTGAAGTGTTGAGTTGCCCTTAATTTCTGTTTGACCTCAGTGTTGTTTTCAAGATAATCCTTTTAATGCAGTAGTTCTATTTTCATGTTACTTTTTCCGTTTGAGGGGAACGATTCCTGAAGTACAGTGTGTGTATATACAGATTTATTTTTTTTTTCTGTAATAGTTTTGGTTGGTTTAATTGTAGCAAGCATGGCTAGCAGTGCTTAAAAACACTTACTTACACAGTTGAGCATTTGTCATGCCTTTGTAGTGAATGCTTCTGAAAATGGCTAACATCCAGGAGTTAAGTGATCAAAAGGCTGACTGCAGACATTTGTCTGTAACTTGTTGGAGAATACAAATTTTCAGTTATATGGCTTTTCCCTGTTCCACATGATTTTGAACAATATCTGATGGTGTCACTTTCAGAAATCACTTCACTGCTTTCACTTTAGTTTTGTGAGGGCTGTTTCTGTGGTATGCCTAAAAAGCATCGTATTGAAGTGATTGCTTTCCAAGTCAGGAAATGCAGTTCTTGTCTTGTTATTGCCACATTTCCATTTCTCCCTCTCCTCCCCCTCCCCTGCCAAATCTGTACAACTTAATGACTACTGCACTGAGAGAGCATTTCCTAGTGAAGTACTAAATTAGTATACTAAAGCTTGTGAACCAAGTGCTGCCATTCTGTTGTTCTGTTGTAAATATTAAGAATTCTAGCTTAAACATAAGATTGTGTGTTAAGCAATTATCTTATTGAAGCTTATTTGTTAGGGGATTGTAATCATTCTTTAAATGATTAAACATTCATCATTTTTTCTTCTGTAAGTGACCAAAAGAACTATTTCTTTGGAAATAGTTTTATAAGAAGTTCAGTCACCTGCAGTTTGTTCTTGATTGTAATTTCATTATGGGTTGTATTAGCCTAGGATGTGTATTTTGCAAGCAGTTCAATTGTTTTGTACAGATTATCTTATAGTACAAAGAATGTCACTGTTTATGAGTTTTGGTTAGATCCCCCATTCCCTTTACTATATCAAACCAATAGTGTGGATGGAGGTTACTGATATTCACAGCTATAATGGAATATAGATGGATCATTTATGTAACTTATTAAAAAAACAGATGCGATGGCTACAGATAGCATGTTTACTTTGTTTTGCTATCTAGTATTTTTGTGTATAGATTTTCATATTCAGGAAGGTTGGGGTTATTTAATGAAAACTGGGAACAAAAAACAAACAGGTTTCCTGTTACATCATAAATTTAAAATGTTTGCTGTCTGCTATAGATGTATAGATAAAAATACTTCAGTAATCATAAGTAACTGTTCTAAAGCCTGGAATCTGGAATTTATTTGCTTTTCTGCCTTGAAATCTCTCGATTGATGACAAAAGGGAAAAAAGGGTTATCAGCATTAGCCTGATATGTATTTTGTTTCTTTTGTAACTAAGAAGCAGTGATGAGGTAGCATGTTGCAAAAGTACTCCTTTCTGTAGGCAGACTGACCTTCATTACCAGTGGAATGGATCACAGAATATAACAACCTGATACTGCTCTTGGCTTTTAAAATTTACTCTGTAGTTTGGATATAGCCTGTGCTTGTGGACTGAGCCACACAGAGCTGCTTTTTTGGCTATTCCAGGGTATACTGTTAGAATACTTGAGTAAAAATTATGGGTTTTAATTACTTTTGTCACAATAAGTTCCGCATCTAAGTGTGAAAAGTGGTTCTCTCCTCCTGTATTGCCTTTTCTTTATTACATACTTTAGTCTGAAGGATGCTGTTTTCTCCAGACTTTGTCCCGGTCAGGGTGTCTTAGCAGACGAGTAACATCTGGGAGCAGTATATAAGCTGATTTCAAGTAAGACAGACTGGCAGAAATAATAGTATTTAACATTTGCACTGTCTTAGCATGGCCTTTCATGTCCTTTCTTCCAGCACGAGAAGCAGGCTCAGGAGATCTTCGTTGTTTGATTAAACTTTTCAGAACTGACTGTTCAAAACCATAGGCTGTGAGAAACCTCAAAAATTGCCTTCACCAGTGTAATTACCACACAGACCACCAACGCAAGGGAACAATCCAGCATCTCTCTTCATTGCACCTCCTCCTGCACAGTGTAAGAAGTGTTGGGTATTCTGATGTCAGTTGTTCTCAAGATTCAGACCTAAGCTCTTGTTACTCTCCTGAATAATGGCTGTCCTAGCAAGTTACTGTCCTGTTTCATGACTTGGAGAATCCAGTCCTTCCTGTAATGTGTGGAAGTTTAAGTAAACATTGTGCATTTCTGAAGCAGTAAGAAGTTGGGTCAGAATTATGGTGGTGTTTTTTCCACCCCCAGCATATGAGGGGGGTGAAAGTTACGTGCCTTTTTGAAAAGTTTAGTTTTAGAGCAAAACCTAGCAGTTACTACATTAGTTCCTACTAATTGAGTGGCATTACTAAAGAGAAATAGTCTTAAGTCTTTTTCCATCTTGTTTTTTTTTTCCTCTTCTGTCTTAACACTGAAATTTGGTTTTCATTCTTGGCTTAAAAAACAACAAAGTTTGTTCTAAAACCAGCTTTGCTCCTTAAGCACCCTAAGGACAAGTCCAGACAGGCGAAGGTCTATGTGTGATATGAATGTTAAGGGGAAGAAAAATGACTATTGCAAGAGATCCAGAAGGGAGAGGCTGTGAATGACTATAACCCAGCTACCAGGTATGCTGCCTGAGCTCTGTATCTATGCTCATTGAAAGAGAATTATTCTAATCCAGTGCTTGGGAGATCTGAGCCATTCAGAGTAGTTGTGTGTAGTGTACACATTTGGAACAGAATTGGCCTAGAGTCTCTGTGATGGAAAGACATCCAATCAGTCAGTAAATCCCCATTCAATTCAGACTATCAGGACCAGCTGCGGCACAACTGAAGTTGACAGCTCACCAGAGGATAGACAGGTATTTTAGAAACACAAACCACCTTTCTTTAGGAAGGGCTCCAGGCAGCCCTCTTGCTGTCTAGCAGCACTGCCTAAGCAGTTGCCCTTACTTCACTTATTAGCCGAGGAGAGGTGCAGTGGTTACTACCAATAGGGGCAGGAAGGCACTGGCTAGTCAGAAATCTTATTTTACCTTACCAGAAATCTTAATTTTACCCTTTTACCTGTCCCTCTTCTCAGGTCTGACTGTATTTACAACTAGGATTCATGTGGAAGCAGCTGCACAAAGGACTGCTGCCTATTAAATATGACTTATCTTTTGTTTCAGCTGGTTTTCAAATCCCTTCACTCTTCAGCTTTAACTGTAAATCAGTTGCAAATGCAACATTAGTTTCTAGTACAAGACCTTAAAATTCTACCATTTGTACAAAAGAAGTTAAAGGTGTTCTAGCAGCAAGGAAGAAATTCTTTACTGTGAGGATAGTAAGGCACTGGTTGCCCCATCCCTGTGTTCAGGGCCAGGCTGGAGACGGCTTGAGTATGTGAGGCATCCCTGCCCATGGCAGGGGGGTTGGAACTAGATGATCTTAAAGTCTGTTCCAACCCAAACCATTCTGTGATTCTGTGAATAACAAACTCACATAAAAATATCCAGAAGACTTAGTGCATAGTGGCTCTTCCTATGAAGGTAAACAATTAAAACACATAATAATCCCCACAGGAAGAAAACACAGTTTTATAAAACCAAAATAGAAAGGATAGGTTCTTGAAAGAAGAGCTAGGAGGCTGCTTGCTCCCCCCCAACAGCAGGGGAGACTAGGAAGAGCAAAATCAAGAGAGCTTTTTGGTTGAGACAGAGGTTTAAGAACCAAAGGAAAGGGGTGGGGGGGAACCCAAGTGATGCAATGGCAGTAACTTACCACCTCCCACAAGCAGACTAGTGCCTTGCAAGTCTCTGAGCAATGGCCACCTTGGTAGACAAAACCCCCACCTTCTTCTGCCACTCCAGTTTTATTGCCAAGCATGATGTTACATGTTATGGTATAGCCCTTTGGCCAGTTCAGCTCAGCTGGGTCCCCTTCCCAGTTACTCATCACAGGGCATAGTTAGAAGAAGAGAACGCTGTGACACTGCAAGAACTCCTCAGCAATAGCCAAAACACTGGTGTATTGTGTATTATCAACAGTTTAGCCACAAATTCTGAATGTACCACTCCAGGAGCTGCTGTGAAGAAAGCTATCTGAATCCTAGCCAGACCCAGAACAGAAATACTAATTTGTATGTTCGTGTTAATAATACCTGTTTCTCCCAACCCCACCCAAAGCTGAAGGCAGTCCTGTCACTTGATGTTACTTTGGTCAAAATTTTATTCCTCCTCCACTGCTGGAATCAAGTGGTGAGGGGACCTCAACAATTAGTTCTTCAAAAAACAGAGCTTTACTTTTTTGCTCTTGAGGTTTTTGTAGGGTAACCCGCGTGCTCCTCTTTGAATTTCTGGGGGATGAAAGTCAATTATAAACAATTTCAGCTAATTATACATGAAACAAAACATTGAAGTGCTGCTGGAAGTTACTTCAAGCAGTATTAAACTGTCTTCCTAGGACTCCAGCTTACAGCTGATCTAATACTCCTGGCTCCTTTCCTTTTCAGCACAATGCTTTTCACACAGCACTCCCACCTAAGAATAGCCCTTTTCCCAGCACTAATACTCACTGGGACCCTTCTCTGATTTCATTTTTTTCCTGCTACGAGAATGGCAGTTTTCCCCCTTCATTTAAGCAAAATGAACTGACTCACAGAAAAGTCCAGTTACAGAGAAATAAAATCCAGAGCTGGTGCAGAACAAAGTGGCAGGAACAGGGGTGAAGGAAGTGACAGCAATAGCTGGATCTCCCTCTTCCAGTAGCAGTGAACAACTATGATGCTCAGTGCTTCTGACATTTGTGGTGGTAGCCACAAAAAATTTTGTAGAGTGGAGACGGGTATAAAGAACCTGCAAAACAGGTTACTGCCTCTAGTAAACTGGAAGGGTTCACAAGGCTGTTTCCTTTGTTAAACCTAAAGGAATGTTAAAGAACTTTACGAGCTTATTTTCAACTGAAAACAGGAATATAATCAGCTCAGAGCACAGCTTCACAGGAGTGTAATGAGTTAACAAAAGTGCACTCCAGTACAGCATTTGTAAAGCTATAAGGTGGGTCTTGCAACTTAGAAACACTTAGCTGTTCCTATTTCTATCATTGTACAGCATGCTATACTTGAAGAATACTTCAGAAATAGGTCTGTAATACTGTTTTCACAAAGCTAATTACCTCCTTGAAAACATGAAGGCCACAAGTGAGAGGAAAAAACCCAGGCAGATTACAAATAGAAGCACTGGTAGACTCAAGTGTGATGGCATAACATTCCTTGGTCAGTTTTGTCAATAATGACATAAGGCTCCTGGATTTCATTTACTTGTGAATTACAGTTCTCCAGCTTTACTTCACTGGATTTGGGAGAGTCGCATTCAGGCTGCAAGAGGCTCCTTCTGCCCTCTGTGCTGGTCCTTCTTATGCGTGAAGACTGAACATCAATGCTTTGTGGTGGAATGTAGGTGAGGTTAGGGGGCTCTCTAATGTGTCTGAAGCATGCAGAAGCTGTATGTGCATAAGGAGTATCCATTAATAGTCTTTTGCTATCAGAACCAGTAGTGGAATCCTCCACATTCCCAGTAGAACAGCGTAGATCTGAAGACAGCTCAGTATGTGCAGCTGCTCTGTTTTGAATCTGAGCATTAGTCAGAAATGTATGGTTTATTTTGGAGTGATTAAATTTTCCTACATGCCTGTCACTTGTACTTGCATAAGATACTGACTCAGGTTGTCCAGTTTCCTCTACTGGATACGTAAGGTCTTTCTGAGTGTCCTTGATTTGTAGTTTTGTGAAGGTTAAAGACAGCTCACAGATTTCCTCTTCCCTAGGGACACTGCAGTTTTTGACAGATGCAATGTCCTTGTATGGCAGAGACTTCAGCTCATTGGGTTCATCTGCAGGGTCCGGGTCTATGCAATTTATGGCATCGTTAATTTCTGCTTCAACTGATGCTTCAGGGACTTCTTCAGCTTGGTACTCCAAAGTGGTTCTACTGTCACAAGAGCTGTCAGCAAATATTGCAAAGGCTGGTGGACCACTTGCTCCTGGTGAGAGTGGCACAGGCCTGATCTCATTTGCAGCTGACACTGCAGTGACTGCCAAAACACATTCTTCACTTAGACTGGCTCTTGGCTTTTTTTCAAAAGGTTCTGGAGAAAGATTCTCACTGAAAATAGGTGTTTGTCTTATCACAATGTCACTATATTTGATAAAGAAGTCCTCACTGTCTGAGCATTTGCCTGGCAAATGTACAGTGTTAATGATTTGTCTTTGGTGTTTCTGAAGCCTGTTAGTGCACTGAGCAACTGCTAACTGAGGCACGTCATCTTTGATCTTCAGATCCCCAGCAGCTTCAAAGGATCTATCACTAGTAGATGAAGATTTCTGTTGAGTAGCAAGGCACAAAGATGTCTCACTGTTTTCTTTACTTTCTAGATTTTCAGTGTCTTCTCTCTGGGGTGTCTGATCTTCTTTGTCTTTATTTCGATGATGCTGGTGCATTTGTGTTCTCTTCTGTAAGGTCTCCTCCAAATTGCCATGTTTTTCTTCATTTGTCATTTCGAGGATGGTTTCACACTCAATTCTTGCCAGGAATATTTCAAAGGCAGTCTGCTTCGTTTCTTCATTGTTTCTCTTTTTGACAAGTGAAAACTCTGTTGCTGTTGTTGCAATGTAACCTATTTTCTCCAGTACTGTTTTTACAATGTCATCTGGGAGCACAGATTGAATATAGTAGACAAAATTACCGGTGAATGTCTGAAACAGAATGCAACATGGAAAAAACAGATGAACACTGGGGGAGTGTGGAGTGGAGAGAAGCATGAAAGATTTCCTAAAAATCAAAAGTACTTCAAAAATTACTTAAATCTTTAAAAAGCCTATGTTCCTTAAAGTCTGAATTTTGAATCAAAGTGAGCTGAGCTTTTCTAACAGCACTATTTTGTCAGATTCTCAAGTATTATAGCTTTGCTATATATAGCACATTAACTTCAGAGAAGGTACACCAGTTTAAAGCTGCTGAGATACTGGCTAAGACCATCAAGATTCAAAAAGGAATAGACTAAGAAAATCATTTTAGTCAAACCAGAGAAACTCAGAAATAAGTCTTATGCGCGCTAGGGAAGAATGAAAGATTTTTAATCAAAAAGCCATAGAATAAATCCATGAGATCTAATCTTTTTCTAAAGAAAGACACAATGCACTCACTGTTCACTGTATTTCTCAACTGATGAGAAGACTGTAACTTATTTTTTTTTTGCATGATTCAGACTCCTGCTCTAACTTTACTACCCTCAGATTAAGTTGCCATTTCTTTGAAAGCACTTTTTGGAAGGAAGACTATTCCAGCAGAAATACTGCCAGAACACACTCTCTTTGCACAAGCTGTCTGTAAAACATGAATAAAATGCTGCTGCTGTGTAACAATTTAAAAAAAACTGTTCAACACCTGCTTGGTTTCGGAGCTACCCCAGGCACAAAGCGTGGTTTGTAAAGTAGAAGTGGTTTTTGGTTTTGTCTGAAACACTACAACAGGAGAGACTATGCTGACCTAAGCATGACCAACTCCAGGCAGATTAGAACAGAACTGAGGAAGGCAGGCATGTCAAGACTTCCAGAATCAGGGTACCTTGTTTTCAGGCTACCCAGCTTCAGACTGACTTATCTACTTCCTAGACTAAGACCTAAGCATTGGTCTCATAGGCACAAGCTTGAGGGAGAACAAAACTGATCCCCCCAAAGGCCATACTACAATGTAGGACTACACCTCAGTCCATTCTCAGATAGATTTGTCAACAGTGCCTTTCACTCCCCAGCTCCTATTCTTTCTTGAGGGAAAGTATGGAGCAGGTACTACTCTGTGTGGGGTGTGGCATCAGAGCAGGTGAGATACTGGAAATGTGAACTAGTATCCTACATATGACCAGCAACTTTTTATCAGACCTGAATGTACAGAAGATACTGGCTATTCTCTAACTTGTGCCTTGCAGTAGAATTATTTCAGGCCTTCAGCAGGCCATCCTGCACTCTGGATTACGCCCAGTGGTCATCAAAGTTAGATTTTTCAATGAAGCCTGGGATCCATGTGTTACGAAAGCTGAGCCCACGAGCTGTAGACCTACGTTATGCTTTGCCCTGTTTTAGGGATATGAATGAGTATAACAGCATTTTAAAGCTGTCTGAATGTGCAGATTGGACCTAATGGGCAACAAGAAGAGGTGGCTTTTCCTTATCAACACCTGTGGCTGTAGGAAGGGAAATAAGTTTGCTTCTTGGGTCTTCAGGGATTTTGTCTAAATACAGTAGATTTTGCATGTGTTTAAGACTACTGCCTTTTCTGGGCAATGAGATGTGTTCAGTGTACTAGGGAAGCAGGATGACCTAGACCACCCTGCTGCCAAAACCGGCGGCATTTCCTCTTTCAAAGGGGGTTTTCCTATCCACTTGACCAGCTGCAGTCACCAGAGGTAGGGCAGTTGGTAAAATCTCTGGATCAAAGAGACACTGGCTCATCTGGCCTTTGGCATCAAACTATAATTTTAGTATATTAGTAACTAATACTAAAAAGCATCCCCTCCTTATAAGGAAATTAAGGTTAACACTCAGACTGTTGAGAGTTTAAGCCCTTCATGGCATCTTTTTACTTCTCCACTGTCACAATAAAATAAGGTCTCTGCAAGACCCTGCACTGCCCAGCGCTTCCGGGAAGGCCCCCGAAGGCCCGGCTTTAGCGTGGACAAGACTGCAAAGAAAACGAACACCGTGCAGGACCCTCACTGCGCTCAGGGCGCTCCTAACCCGTTCTAAATGGGCTCTTTAAAGGCTGCTCCTGGCTCCCGGAGCGCGGGCGCTGCGGCCGTGCCTTCTGCGCCACAGGCCCGGGGAGGCCTCGGAAGGCCGCGGCCGCCAGAACCCGAGGCCGGAGCAGCCGCCCCGGGGATGGCTGCGCCCATGCCCGAGCCCTACAGCGCTCCCCTACCTTCAGCGACCTGATCTCTTTCCGCCACGGGGAGAGCAGCAGGTTGACACACAGCAGCTCCAGCACCTCCAGCGCCTTGCGCAGGTCGCTGAGGACGCTGCCGGCCCGATCGCCGCGGGCCCCCCGGCACCGCTCCGCCATGCAGCGAACGTCCAGGGCGCCGCGCCGCCGCGGTCCCAGCAGCCGTCGCGCCCTCGCCTTCAGGGAGGCTTCATCGCACACCACCAGCTCCCCCTCCGCCCCTCGAGCCGTGTAGTACGCCAAATAGTCCCGCAACACTTCCCCGTCCTCCTCGCCCACCGCCACCTCCTTCATGACAGCGTCAGACCGGCCGGGCCGCACACTCGCCCGCCCGGCAGGGGCACCCCTCGGCTCGCCACTGGCAGCTGCTCCGCGGCGCCGCGCGGTCAGTGGTGCCCCGCAGTGTCAGTCAGGGCGGCGGGCGGGCGCCACAGCGACCCCAAAGCGAAAGGCGGGAGGGCAGCGCCGCGTGGGGTGGGTTTTGGCGCTGGGCGGGCCGGGGATGCCCTGGCGTAAGTTCAGTGTTTCCGGACCCCACGGTTCCGAGGGCGCCGTGGGGAAGCGGAATCTCGGCTTACCTGGCCACGGTCGTATTTCTTTCCTGGTGAAAGCGGCTCTGTGGTGTTGCAAGCAAACTGCTTTTCTCTCTGGCTTGCCCGGGACGAAGACTTTCCGAAAACATACGCTTTTGATCGTCATTCCAAGTGAAATGCCATTAGGAAATACTTATTTAGAATTTGTGTATGGGAAATTGCTATATAAAAATTGCTGATCTAGCCAAGAGCGAAGGGGAGTCAAACCCCCATGCTAGCACCGCATGTTCAAATGAGGCCATCTGCTGCAATGTCTTGAGTTTTCTCCCCTGCCATGTGTGCCTGCACACGCAGGCAGGGTTGGCTGTGCTCTTAGCCGGGTGCCTGCAGGCGGCTGCGCTCTCTTCTCGCCATTTCCAAAACTTTACTGACCCAAACGAGACGGGTGCATTTTATGTTTCTGCTCACACCCTCCCACAGGGGCGGGATTGGATCCTTTCAACTCTGCAGTTTTTGTTAACATACAGAATAGCTAGCTGTGTTTTGTTACAGCCTGGTGCAGTACTGCCGAATGATGTAAGGAATCTTGCTTTGTTGCTGGTTCTTTTGTTTTGCTTCTCAGTCAAGTGTATTTACATAAACAGCAAATACTGAGTTGTCTTATCTGTCTAGCTGTTTATTTATTGTTATTCTCTGAATTAGATCCCTAGTACAGCTTCCAAGGGTGGAATTTTTCTGTGTTTTGAAGGTCCTAATACTAAAAGCTTGCTTTCTGAAAGAGAAGCTTAATCAATTCCTTGGCATGCGTGTGTGTGTGGTACTAATCCCCTCACTGTCAGTGAGGCAGGGTATTTGCCCATGAGCCAGGTCCCCGAAAGTCCCGTGGCAGTACCCTGAGCTATGAGGTTTTCCATCTTCCTCCTTCCTTCTTCAGTGCTATTTAAAAAATGTTTTGCAAGAAATTTTGCTCTTTTCTGAGTGCATTAATTTTGCTTATTACTGATTTCAGTCTCCTGCAGAAATCTGGCTAGGAGCCATGACAAAATACTTTTAGTTTTTACAGTGTTCTTCCACTGCTTTATTGTTATTTGAGTTTAGTTTAAAACAAACAAAAAAGTCCTTTGTGAATCTGTTGGGTTCATTTGGCGTGTAAGAGAAGACAGAATCTATGAAAAATATTTTTTTTTTCCTAAAAGACTACAGCAAGGCAAAAGCCTGGTCATTCATCTTAGAAGAGAAAAAGAATTCCATAGAAAGGAATGGTCACTTCCAGATGTGTATGCAACCTGTTGCTGTTTCCCTGGGGTTCAGAAGTTCACAATGTCAATACCTGGTGAATTGCATCAGGCTATATACCTGACTCTGTTTCATTGCAGTTGGGCAGAGGAGGGTTATTGAAACTATATTAATAGGAGATGCAGAAGAACAAATAAGGGAATCAAGGCATTGGACCCAAACCACAAACGGACCATCCTGGGTCCTTCTGTGTTCCTTAAAGCTTTAATTTTATTTGTGACTCTCCTGGACATGGAAGCTGTTTTTCTTGTTACTTTTTCTTGCTTTAATGGAAGTGAGGTTATATATGCATATGGACCTGTCTGAAAGCTGAGCTGTGAATTTATTACATTCTTATGAGTTCAGCAGCCAGTGTTCAAGCATTCATTACTGTGAGCTGAGTAAAAGGGAAATGAGTATGAACTTTTCTGCCTGAGAAGTTTAAATTCATGAGATGCTGTTGGGAACTCAGAAAACATGGATTTAGTTTCTGATCTATTTACAGTTCCCACTTCACATGAAGCTAGAGCTGTAGGTGCTTGGATTTAATTGTGATGAATGTTTTCACTGAAAGCTTTTTTGCTGTGACAACAGTATGGTGTTAGAAATGACGTAATTCTCAGTGGGTCACTAATGTGGTCTGGGCTGAGAGAACTCTCTTTTCCCAGAGGGTACTGGCAGATCATCTAGGATTTGGAAAGCCGCTAATACACAGTGACTGAAGTACAACTGCCAGTTCTGAGGCAGAACACTGCCTGTCAGAACACTGACAGACAGTCTTAAAGAGAGGACATGGAAAGCTGCACTAGGACAGGACTGAAACTTGGCCTTTCCGTTCCCAGTGACATGTGGAATCTTTCTTTCTCTACAATGTATAAAATACCAATTCTCCATTTCCTGTCAGTTCTAGTATCTCATTTTTACATGACAATGGAGAACAGCTTTCTACTCGCTGTCATGCAAAACCAAGAAAGATAAAACCTTGCTTTTTCCTTTACTCTAGGCACTCGGGTTTGCCAGCCTCCTTGAGTTGTAGACCCTTGGCTTGGATTCTGTTTCCTAATGGAGCAGTAGTGAGTGGAGAGCTATTTTGAATGATTTAGGACAAATAGTGTTATTTATATGCCTAAGCTGCAGTTATTCATGTTTCTTCATTTCTTTTCCTTGAAGTGTGACATTACTGGCTGCTGGTTAGCAGCTGTTGATCTCAGTGTAGTTCTTAGACATTCTCCTGCAGTCTAGCAGGTTGCTTCGTGTTGTGTGTTTGTGAATTTGAGCCTGCATTTCTCAAGTGCAGGAATTGTATTTATTTCACTGAACTGTACCTTGTTCTTTCCAGGCTATTTCTGTCTCTTCAAATCTCAGTCTTGCCCTCCTTCATACTCCTGCCTCTCCTATTTTAATGTGATTTGCTGATTTTAATAGGTCCTTATTCTCTTTCAAAGCTCTGAAAACCAGCAACACTCAGTATTTTCATTAGGACATAGGTGATCCCACCTGATGCATTGTTTAAAAGTAACACAGAGCATTCTGTGTGATAATTATTATTTTAATTTACAGAAGTCTGTGGTTATAATTTCATGCAGAGAGTATTTAACCAGTTTAAGAAGGGCAATGGTTTGTCAGACTGTAGTGTGACCAGTTAAATCATTTTGATGTGGTTTCCATTCAGGAAATACACTGTTACTCACTTTGCTGAGCTAACAAATTATCTGTTTGAATATTTCTGGGAATATTTGCCTGTTATTTACTGTTTTTTTTACTCTTTTTCCTAGGTGGTATGTTGCATTTTCCAGTCTTCTGGCCATAGTAATTTTCAGAGGTACTAATGAATGTGTTTGTGAGGGTTTCTGATGCTTTTTGAAATGCCTGAGAGTACTTCAAGAGTAATAATTTTCACTGCAGCAGAATTGTAGGGTCTTCTCTTTCTGCTTTTGCTGAGCTGGGCTGATCCTGCCTGACTGGTCTCCTTGAGCAGGAGAGACCTGACTGCTCTTATTGCTGCTTATTCCTGTGGTTTCTGAGAAATGTAAGATCCAAATGTAAGTTGCTGAATCACGATGTTGTGTAGTCAACAGTTGCTTAGTTGCCTAACTAACATGAAGCTAAAGGCTGTGGGTAGTACCAAAGTGATACTGACACAATAGAGAGCACAGAAGCTGTGTCAAATACACATACATTCTTTACTAAAAGCTTTGTGTAAAGATTAGTACACTAAAAATCGAAGCAAAAGAGTTTACAGAAATACAGTACTGTTACCACATAGCGAGAAACAGCATATCCAAACAGTTTTCTTTCTGATACTAGTGATGTAATGCATGAAAGGCCCATGTTAAGCCTGTTTTAGCACTTGTATTAAAATTATGTGACAGTTTACAATAGAATCACAGCAGACTGGTTAGGGTTAGGGACCTTAAAGCTCATCTAGCTCCCATCCTCTGCCACGGGCAGGGACTACTTCCACTAGACCGGTTTGCTGAAAGCCATATAATCCGATGGAAAGATAAGAGTTTCTTAAAAGGGGCATCAGAAAACATTCCTGTCAACTGTGCTGAGATTTATCCAGGATCTTAATTATTTTCCAAGAAATGTTCTTTTTGCATCATTACAAGAAATCTTAACACTTTTCCAGTAGTAGCATTGGAAGCTGTTAGAGCAGCTTTAGAGGTGTGGACTTCTCTTTCTAGCATTGTCTATTTGCAAAGGTATATGGGTTGGATTTAGAAGCCTTCTTCCCTATAACTTTGTTGGATATCACCTAGTTAAAAAGATTAACAAGAGCAGAAAAAACTAAGCTACTCTTGCAAGTGATTGTAATAAGATACCGCTCAAGGTAGCACATTCTACTTTAAAATCACAGTTTGTTTTTTCAAGACTTTTTCATAATGAATGACATGCCATACACATTTGGTCCTAACTTGGAAAAATGTTACAGTATGGAAGTGTTATGTTTTGGTTGGTTTCCAAATTTTGATGTACTGGTCCCTCATTGTGAATCAAACTAGAAGGCTTGACTTTACGATGTGGTATACCACAAGAGGGAGTAGATGGCTATTTGTAAGCTGTGCTGCTACATACAATGTAGATCACAATGCTAAGGATGCTTAACTTATAAAGTGAAGAAAGACTTAATTTTTCTATAATATTAATAATGCATTTCTATCATGAGGTAAAATACAAATCCCCTATTTTCATGAGGACTACTTAAAAGCAGCTTAATTTGTAAACAACAGATAGAAAGTTAGCAGAATAGCATAAGATCCCCATCAAGTTAAAAGGCAAACAGGTTGAAAGGAGTTCCCAACATGCACAGAAACTGTAAGCGTATATAACAGAACAGAGGCTTGCCTGACAGAGGTGAAAAGCCCTCTGTGTTAGTCTTCAGAAGAACCTTCAGGTTTGCTATGTTACAGTAAAACACACATTTTTGGAGGGGGGAATCACATTTGCCTTCTAATACTTATTAGGTTTCCCCTTCCACCTCCCCAGTAGCAACCTGAAGTAAGCAGGTCTGGTCTCAGTGCCTTAGGCTGTTCTAGGCAGGTCTCCAAGAACTGCAGAAGACACAGCTATGAAAGTATGTCCTATCCTGCATAAATAAACCCTTGTACTTGCCTTCACTTTTTATATTCATGCCAATAAACTGACTGGTACATTTTTATGCTGGTTTTCGTTTCTCACCCCTAATAGATGGTGTAGAGTTTTGATTCTCATTGCAGGATACTTTGCATACCACAAAACTGTGTACACTAGTACTTTACACAGAGGAATAGTTCTATTAAAGATACAAATGTGAAATACAGCCTATGTTCTGGAAATCCCTGCCAGCAGTTTTGCAATGCTAAATTGTGATTTTTGTTGTTGTTGTTTTGGGTATAGTATCCTGAGAATATTGAGTATCTTGCTGAAATGCAAAAGAATTCTCTTATTTAACAAAATACATATTCACTCTCATCTACTTAGCAAAAAATGCATCCTTACCTTATCTCATAATGTGCATATCACTCAGTAGTAGTATAATCTATACAGCAGTAAGGACCATATAATTAGTTTCCATCTAAGCATTAATTATAATTGTGTCAATCTTTGGAATGTTGAACGATGATTATAGTTGAAAATTATTTGGTATTTACAAAAAATGTAAGTGCAATTTTAATAATTTGGATGATGCTTCCTTTTAAACACAATTACATATTTACTCTACTAATTTTTACATATTCTGTAATGGGGGTAGTAAACTGAAGTCTGTTTTATCAGTGTAAAACTATTATTATTTTTTTATCAGTAAAAATACCTCCGAGAGATTAGTGGCAATGATCGTCTGATAGCTCTAGTAACTAGTACTGGCTGAAGGTGGATTTTAGTCCTCACGTGAGGGTATGATTCTTGTGTACCACGCAAGATTAAACTCTCGCATTTGCAGTTTACCTCTGCTGTTCAAGCTAGCGTGGATCTCCAATTTGTATGCAGTTATCAGATGAATGTGTGAGAAGTCTAGGTTTAAGAACAAAGGCCACAAAGATTTGCGGGTAGCAAAATTTCAATGGAAAGGATCATGCCTAATAAAAGAGGTTTCTGCACGAAATGAGGTTGTCTGTTACTGTGCATGCAAGGTCCAGCATCTATTATTTACATCATACTAATGCAATTACTAGATGCCAAGGTACTTTGTAATGCTACAGGCTCCTTACTGAAGAAAGAGACCAGTTAGTGCCTGAAAACGCAGTCATGCATGGGAATTGACATGAAGCATCTTCTGGGATTCCAGACGATGTCCTTCCCTTGGCACTAGCAGGTTCCTGTGTAGGGCATGCAGCTTCCATGCCTGCACACAGCTGTAGTAACAGCTTCCGTACTTCTGCCAATTGGTGTTTTGGGGATCTGCTGCCACCTTGTCATCACTTGGTGCTGGTTTCTTCTGAGGAAGCCTTACAGCAGGCTGTGCAATGGTCTGTAAAGCTTGGTACTGGCCAGACTTTTTTTTTTTTTTCCCCAAAGAAAAAATGCCAAAATAACATTCTTCTTTTTCTCCTGTATGGTACTGTTAGTCATGCTTTGCAGGCAGTGCCTCTGTCTACTCAAAATACATATTTAGACAAACAATTATTTTAAAATGCCTTGTTGCCAAGACACTGAATGAAATGTACTACAAAGACAACAAAATACTATTCCTTCTGCTTGAAAACATGCAAAGTATCATAAAATCAACAAGTAGTCTTGAATGGGTAGCACGTATCTATATTAAGAGTGGCTGATTTCATTGTGTTTTGAAATGCTTCAGAAAGGTCAGATGCAGATTGTCACTGGTTCTCTTTGATGCTGTGAGATGTCACAGAACTTTGAAGCCAAAAAGGGAAATTTAGGTAAACTTTCAAAGTTTTCTGTAAAAGATAATATCTCATTGCAACCTTTTTAAAGATATAAAATCGGTAAAACTTTCAAAGGTTTTATTTTTCCATTTAAACGGGTTCTGTTTGTTCTTCAGAAGAGTTGGAGGAAAGAGCCACTTTAATTATATGACCTGATTCAAAATGGCTTGATAGGTAGGAGAAGAATTTTTCAGCACTTCGATGGGAACAAGTGATACGGGGGTATTCTGTTGACGCACCACTGTCTCGTACCGCGAAGTAGCCCCCAGAGCGAGAGGCGACAAAGAGATGGAAGAAGTGGGCCGCTGCAAGTTCTGCAGCCGGACTGGACAATTTGCAGTGCATGCAGACCCACATGCTGCTTCCAGGCCAATGTTTATAGATGTTTCATTTCTTCGACAAGGGTCTGTAACAGAATATGGGGGAGGATTATCTGTGGGCATATACATTTGTCTTGCTCCTGGCCCCACGCATTCTTCATAGCTGAAAGAAAAAAAAGTATTTTTCATTAGATTCCTGTGAAAAATGCCACAGTACATTATTTTCAGCATAACTTGGGCAGGTAAAGCGAGAAGAAAAGGATTGCCTGGTGTTCTGTTCTTCAGCCCACATTCTTGCTTACCCTGCCATGTGAGACACTCAAGAACATTGGCACAGCTACAGGTTAGGCAGAGAAGAGATTCAGAGCAGCCCTGCAGAGAAGGACTTGGGGATTTTGGTTGATGAGAAACTTAACATGAGCCAACAGTGTCTGCTTGCAGCCCACACAGCAACCATATCCTGGCCTGCATCAAAACGAGCATGACCAGCAGGTGATCCTGCCCCTCTGCTCTGCCCTCGTGAGACCTCATTTGGAGCATTGTGTGCAGTTCTGGTGTCCTCAACATAAAAAGGACATGGAACTGGTGGAACAAGTCCAGAGGAGGCCACGAGGATGATCAGGGGACTGGAGCACCTCCCGTATGAAGATAGGTTGAGAAAGCTGGGGCTGTTCAGCCTGGAGAAGAGAAGGCTGCATGGAGACCTCATAGCAGCCTTCCAGTGTCTGAAAGGGGCCTATAGGGATGCTGGGGAGGGACCCTTCATTAGGGACTGTAGTGATAGGACAAGGGGTAATGGGTTCAAACTTAAACTTGGGAAGTTTCAATTGGATATGAGGAAGAAGTTCTTTACTGTAAGTGTGGTGAGGCACTGGAATGCGTTGTCCAGGGAAGCTGTGAATGCTCCATCCCTGGTGGTGTTCAAGGCCAGGTTGGACAGAACCTTGGGTGCCATGGCTTAGTGTGAGGTGTCCCTGCCCATGACAGGGGGGGTTGGAACTGGATGATCTTAAGGTCCTTTCTAACCCTAACTATTCTATGATTCTATAATACTTAAAAGCACATCTCCAAATACCTAAAGATCATTCCAGAGGTCCTGGTGAAAGTTCAGACTCCATTCTCCCACATAAAAGTAACATCTGTGGCAGCTGAGGTGCCTGGGGATAAGGCTAGTTCCTTACAGCTGGTGGTGCAGGAGCAAGATGACCAATGCTGTGGGCTCCCATAAACCTGTGCATGCTGAAGCCCCAGCACAGTGGGGGTTCATTCCTGCTCTCACATGCACATACGTAACTGAGTTAAAAAATCTCTAGGGTAGAAGGAAGTGGTGGTGCTGTTCTGGTCAAAAAAAGAGCAACGGAGAGCTTTAGATGAAGTAAAGTTGTCACATTAAATGCAGTCCTCCTGACCCAAAGGTCTCTGGTGCTCAGCCAGCTACATGTGGTGGGTTGTTTGGGTTGCAGATCTATGCTGGCAGGGGCAGCAGGATTTCCTGCTGAGGTGCAGAGCTGCGATGAATAATCTTGACAGACTTGTGCTGGTCATTCAGAAACCTGGGAGACTACCTCTTGTGTTCCTCCAGTGAAGGAGGAATGCAAGATAGACCAATTTGTGGGGTTTCTGTCAGGAGCCAGCTCAGGTCTATCCAGGCTTCATAGTTCTGTGTCACCAAGCTAGAGCCAAACTATTACCTCCTCACTCTGCTACCATGCTCAGCACTTCCTGTTCTGCTGCAAATTCAGACAGGCACCTTAGATAGGAGCTTGGGCTGCAAAGCCTAGTGAAAAAAGAGCATACATAGACCAGCGTGTCTTTGTGTTTTCCCATGATCTGTGTTGCAGGAAGAGGATCGGAGTGGATGGAGTGGGCATAAGCAGGTTCTCTGTGCATTTGTACTGTGCTGCACTGGCACTGCCCAGCCCTCTGAGCTAAAGGGCTCTGCCGGCATGGCACTGCAGCCCTAGGGAGGGCTGAACCAGAGCGGGTATATCTGGTCTGTTATGTGGGTGGTACACTGTCTGGCTATCCTAGCCTCACCTGTTCACAAATTAAAGCTGACTCCAGTTTTGCTATCAAACCAGTCTAGGCCAGGTGGTATTGAGGAAGGTCCTGTGTTCCTGGGTCACTGGCTACAGGCAAAGTGAGGAAGAGTCATAACATCATGATCTTAAATGTTGGATCTGCTTTGTGGCTGCCTTCTTTAATTGTGGCAAAGCTCTCAGTTCTGAAGGAGGGAGTGTTTCCTGTAAATAACCACTGCCTACTCAGTTAACCTGAAAAACAGTTCTGCTGGAGCCAGACAAATTAAGAACCCATTTCCTCAACCACACTCACTGCAGAGCTATTAAGATCTAGGATATTTCCTGAAACTTTGGATATTTAGCATATGTCTTCCCAACAGACTGCAGGCAGTTATTCTGCCCCTTGTAATTGCATTTCTGCCAGGCTAAACCCAAGCTAATAAACCCTACTTGTAGATTGTAAATGGCTTGTGGCAGGGCAGATTGCATTCGTTCGTGTGAGCTGAAATCTATTGCAAGTAGAAAAATGCTTGTTTCTGCTGTTCTCATTCACAACTTTCTCTGAGCACTCCTGAGGATTTTGATGGTATTCTTAGTCCAAGTGATGGAAGTGGGTTTTGGAGAAGGGAAAGGTAAGAAAATGAAATCTTAGTACTAGGTTACTAAATAAATATCCTCAGGTGTGTTTATTTTTATATCCCTTTTATCTTTATATTCATGAGGACAATGGTTTTGAATTCAGACTAAAAAATTCAATTGCCCCATCAGAAAGCATACTATTCAAAACCAACTCTGTTCTAAAGATCCTGAATAGGGTTGCTAGATACTTCAGAAACAAGTCCCAGTATGTAGGAGGGTGAATTGCTTTTATCTAGCATAGATAAATGGATAAGGGAAAAGATTTGATAATTTCATAGATAATTGAACGGATTTCAGTCCAGCCTCTACTAAACCCATTGACACTTTCAAGCATACCTGATATTCCTTTAAAACATCTTAGTCCTTAGTCAGAGATGAAGGACCTGATGTCCTTAACTCTTCAAGAACTCAGTGAAGGAAGAGACACTCTGCAGGATTACTTACTATAAGCTGCATCTTTACTTAGGTTTTGCTGACCCAAAGCCCTTTGAACTTATTTAAAATCTTTCCACAGGTTTTGACTAACTTAATCAGGCTAATGAAGAGCACCTACTGTGTCCTGTTACCACAGTAGAGTGAGTTTCAGTTTTTGAAAGGCCCATAGTGAAATTTGAGGTGAAAAATGTTAAATCCTTTTGCTGAGATGTAAAAGGGAAGAAGCATTTCTGTCTCCCAGTTCTGGGCTTGGGCCCAATGCATGGGAAACCTGCTACTCACCTAAAAAAAAATGGGCACAGCATGAACCTTCTGCTTACTGTTATCTGATCATCTGCATTTCTTCGTCTTGCGCTTACTTTAACATCTTTTATAGACTGCAGCTCAGCTCTGTAGAACTAAAATGCTGAGTAGGATAAACAGTGAAATGATCTTTTGTAAAGGAGGCTTTTAAGCATCAAGGCAAGTGGGTAGCAAATTATGGTTTTTAAGACCTGTCATTTTAGTGTTTAGTTCCAAATATCAATTATATTAGTATTAGGGTACTTTTTCTTCATACATACAATGGATAAAAAAGAATTATCTCTTTTCAACAAACTTGAATGCATGTAATATTCCCCCCCCTCATTCTTGGCAATTGAGATCAGATTTTAAAAATTGGATATGGCAGTAAAGAACACATACCAGATTTTCAATTCGGTAACTTTTTGGCACCTTCACAGCTGTACTTACAGATCATTGTGACCAAGGAGACAACTAAAAATCATTCAAGTAGTTGTGTTTTTTTTTTTTTAATAACTTCTTATATTTCATTAGCAATTTATGATCTTGATACTTAGTTTCCCATAATCTCTTCTAAGCAGGTATCTTTGCTTGTAATGCTGACATTGCAAATAACTATTGCTATGATTCTGCTAGTGGAGGCTGCAGGTAAGGTTCCTAGCATTTTCTGTTCAGGATAGAAGGGAGATGAATTAAAGTCACGCAAGCAACTTTAACTTTGTGGGCTCTTCCCCTAGCTTCCAAGTGTTTTGTGTGTGTTTTTTTTCTTTCCTCTCCTCTGTTTAACAGCCTCAGTAATTCGGTTGTGCTTTGAGTGCTAGTCTAGGGGTATTCCTGTAGTATAATTAACTATAAGCATTTATTTTATTTTGCAGTCTCTCCTTCAAAGAAACCATAATATGTAAACCTAGACAGCTTTACCAGGATTCTAAGCAAGTATTATAAGAAGTGCAGTTCTACAGGCACCCATTGTCCAAGTCTTTTGGTGGCTGGAAAATCATTCCTCAAAAGAGGAATTTAAAGAATTACTTATTAAAAATTATAATAAGAATCATTTCTTGCAGTTGATTACCACGTATTCAAGTGACTGATACTGGACTAAATCCTTACTGTTATCTTAAAATAAAGTTTCATGTTTAAGGAGAAGAGGTGAACGTGCTCTTGCATTTTACTGCAGTTGAGGTGTGTATCATGAACTAAGTGGTACTTGCAAAGTTGTCCTGCAGTGTGGGTCTGCACCTTCTGGCATACCTTTTAGGTTTCTTTCCTTTGTTGCTGTTTACATATTTTTTTTTTTTTTATTTTTCCCTAGTTTCTTGTCAGAATAACTTTATTGTCATTGTAGACTGTGCTATTCAGTTTTTAAGGGGTAATTATATGAGGAAAGGCAAGGAGGGCTGATGTCTCTTATCTTACTATTGTCTTACCACATGTAAACATGATCTGTAAAGAGAAGAATGTTGGTTAAAAAATACAGCAGCTCTTCAAGCTGACCTTGTTGACTCAGAAGGTTGAGGAAGGGGAAAAAACTTCATGAATTTGTCAGGTCTCATTGCAATAAATATTAGGGTAAGGTTGTTGCTAAGGAAACCCAAAAGCTTATTTAACTATCTGTCATTCAGAAATTATGACCTACTCTGGGGAAAGATGAAGGTTCTGCTTAGAGAACTTCTTAAGATATAAACAATAGCAAGTGAAAAAAAGGCAAATCTGGGGAATTAATTCTTCTTTGTGAAATAGATATCATTTTGTTTACTCTGTTCGTTTGTTATATGTTCTGTCTCTA